ATTCGGTTAACTAGGCAGGTTTGGGTAATTAGCCAAGTTACTGTAGACTATTAAAAATCAAATTTAGCTAATAATTTTGACCTTAAAACGGTTATAAAAAAATAAAAACTGTTTTTATTCTAGCCGAAATAAAACAAATAAGACTTTCTTCAGAAGATAAAATATTATCAGACATTCTGTGAAAATTTCCTTGCTCAGATAAAAATAATTTTGAAAATATTTAAAAGAAAAAAATAGGCAAATAATTCTGACTTCAACTGTAAATAAAAATATAAACTAGAAAACAAACAGATATTTCGATCATCAATTTGACAAAAAAATATATAGTTTTCTCTGATTTATATAAAATATTACAGTAAACACTGCTAGAAATATTTCACACCTACAATTTTAAATAAAAGAAAAGAAAAATGATAGCTTGCTTTGAAGTAAATACCATACAGTAATAAAATCTTTGTGAATGCTGACTTTGCTCTCTTGGCAAAATAATGCAGAATTTGTAGCACTCGTCCTCTGAAACTCAATTTAAATTGAGAAACATAAAAGAAAGATAAAAATCTGACAGGCAGACCAGCATACATCTAATCGCACAGCCGTCTGGCGAAAAACAATTGCGATCTCAGGCGTGCTTTTCTCAACCCGAGGTTGGTTTTTGTTTTGAATGTTTGATTTTCCCGTCTGACTTTATGGTGTAAGATTTTCAATGCCAATATATCATGTTTGAGTTCCTCAGTTCATATAGAGACCAACACAATACCTCGAGTCAAAAGGTACATTACTATAGCCTAAGAGTGACCACTTAAAAGCCTTCATACTAGGATTATTGACTTTACGCAATGTTTGTCCAGCAAATAGTATGAGAATGAAGCAAAACCATAACGCATGATATAAAATAAACATGACATAAGCTGCCTGGGGTGTGACAGATACAAATGAGAAAGTATCATTAATATGAGGAAATACAGTACTAACCAGAACATTTGCAGTCAGCTAAAAATAAATCACCTGAATTAGCGCAGAGGGCAAGAAAGTTTAGCCACATTGTTTTGGTTTTTTTAGCAGCTTGTTGTCTCACATTATCAAATGAGTTTGGGGTTTCTAATGGATGCATAGGCAATTAAACAACACTGAGTTGGCCTTTGCAAGGCATAAGGGAGCTACTTACAGGAAAGACCAGGCCTAACAACCCAATCCCCCCGAGAGAGATGTGAAATAACAGAAAGCTCCCAAAAGGCTGTCAGCTTAAGGGGAAAGACTTGATAAAAAAAAAATCCCAATAATTTGTTCTTTTAACTGCTAATCATATATTATATTTAAAAGAAAGTAGAAGAAGATGGATAATGCAGATAAAACGTTAAGCAAGAATAATGTAGATTAGCGGTGTGTGCATTATTTAGAAATAAGAAACTAGTTTAAACATTTCCAAGCAAGACCTTGTGGGTATAATATCAGACGTCCTCAAGAGATCTATGACATCAGCCTGCTTAAAGTGCATGAAAAAAAAAATACTAATACTTTCCTTCTTAGACTTTACAGACCTAAAACTTGCCTATAGCACTCATTCATTGTTGCTCTTATAGTTGTGTAAGTTGCTTCCTTGTCCTCATTTGTAAGTCGCTTTGGATAAAAGCGTCTGCTAAATGACTAAATGTAAATGTAAATGTAAATCAAAATTTACAATGGGACATAGTGACTACCGTTTACATGGACATCAGTAAACTAATTATTTTCATTAATCTGAGTAAGACCATAATAAGATTAAGGTGTTTACAGGAGTTGCTTTTTGAATGTTCCTTTCATGATTCCGTTTGACATGTTATAGTACACACAGTAGATCAATTAACGTTATTGCGTCACCACGCCGTCTACATTTCCTCCGGACTTTCATGTAATTTCGGGTGTTTCGATTTGTTAAACTAACTACAGTTTGGCACTTTCTCTTTCATTCAGGAATATTTCATGCATGCCCCTGAGATAAACGAGATATTGGATGCGAGAATGAAGTGCTGGAAGAGTGTAGTTTGAATGGAATTTGATATTTCACAACATATGGGAGAACAACCTCAGCATTTCTCGATGCAGGTGTCAGTGGTCCTTCACATAAATTGTCCTTTTCTGTTACTACTAATATTTCGTGTATGAAGGGGCAACAAAGACTATACTGCTTCCACAAATAAAGATCTTTTAATATAGATAAATCACTCATGTGCATGTTTTACAGTTCATACATTCAGTCACTGTTATCTTTTTCTTTGCTTTATTGCTTTAATTCTCTAAGTGCAAAAAATAAGAGTTGTTTGGAGAACATTTTGAACCTAGGAGGAAAAATAACAGGGAGAAAACAGATGACCATGGCTCATTTATACCATAGACAAGTTTTCTATCAGATGATTCCCATAATATGCACCATGAGATTCAACTGCTCCCTCCTGGTATTCAATACAGAACTCTTATCAATAAAACAAATCGGTTTAAAATTTCATTCATCCCCTCAGCAGTAAAGTTTGTAAATTTAGGAGTAGATTTGTATTGTACAATGTATTTTGTATATTATTCATGATATGTTTGTATGCTGTAACTAAATGGCCTTTGGGAAATGAATAAAGACTGACTGACTGACTGACTGACTGACTCGGTAGGTGCAGATAATAGCATCAAAACGCAGTGTGTGTAGAGACTATCCTGTTGCAAAATGCGGTGAAAATCCTACACAATGGTACCAGTTTGATTTCGGTGTTTACATGTCTGTACTGCACTTCAATAATGCGACTAAAATCTGCATACTCCATTTGTCCTAATTCCATTTCTGTTTACTTCGATTATGAATTTAATCGGATTCAATTAATCCAAAAACTGCTGTTCACATGGTAGACTCCTAATCATAGTATTGTCTTAATCATATTAAAATCATATTATTGGTGTCCATATAAACATACTCACTGTTAGTCTTTAGGTGAACAATTCATTTGTGCAAGTTACACTTTTTCCGTCAAAATCAAAATCTAACCATTTGTTAACCCTCTGGAATGCCGATCCCTCTCTGATGAAATCAATTTAACAGCTAGGATGAAATATGCTCAGCCACACCCCTTTTCATGTGTTTTTTCATATTAGTTATCGTCAAAATTTGTTATGCACAGAAAGCTCAATCACAACCACATAGAAATCACAAATCAATACAAAACGTAATGATACTTGTGTTCTCCTTCTCTCTCCAAATAGGAAATATGGTGTCCATTGAACTGAACTGATCCTTAACAGAAACTGCAATATGTCAAAGCTATGAACACACACAAACACACACACAACAAACAGCCGCATGGGAAAGGTGCACGCCAGGCATTGAAACCAGCAAACAAAAGGCTAAAGCTGTGGATCTCAACCATCTGCCACAATCTGTCATTATATTCTGCTCTTTGTTTGACCTAAAGTGAAAACCTTGTTTTAAAAGCAACAGGTTTACTCACTTTTTAAAAGTACAACCAACTAATAGTTTATTACAGAGAACAATTTGAGCCTGACTGGTTAACTACAGTGTTTATTTTTTATAATACCTCAGTTAAAGCATGCAAGCTATGTTTAACTGCGCAATGCCCCTATCCACCCTTAGCAAAATAACCTCTGTATCAGTTTAAAGTCAAAATCTTTCCATAAAGAAAGAGCTATACATTGAACTGCTGCCATTTTTAAAACAAGATTCATTTAGATGACATAATAAAAGTCTCTATTTAAGGATCATAATGCAGCCCCTGAAATACTTAATTGTCAATTTAAAACTTAAGACTTTCTTCCGCCTGTAATACAAATTACAAAACTGAACCAATGTTTGTAGACTTATGCAGTTATATAATGCAATCATTAACAACATTATTAGAATGAAAGACAGAGATTAACTGTCCGTTTGATTCTTACAGCCTGATCTGATCTGAAGTATTTTAGGTTTTGTCAGTTTAGTGGCAAATTTTCAGAGAGTTCAGTCGTACGAAATTGTACGATTTTAAAAAGGAGGCGTGGCACCTAACCCCACCCCTAACCCCAACTGTCATTGGGTGATGAGCAAATCGTACTAAATTGTACGAATTAGATTGTACGAATTCATACGAATTAGCCACTAAATCAAAAAAGTTACGAATTGCCGTGAGATTGCGTTGGATTCTCAACAATGCCCAACAACAGCATCTCTATTAATAATGAAACTGTATTTGCTTCCAGACAACCCAACACTATCTCACGACAATTTGAACTTTTTGATAAAACATAAAAGCAATTTTGACAAAATTTTTTTAAATGATTTCACGTTTTCTTGTGAGATCTGGCTAAACAGCCCTACTATTGCCCCGCTTGAGTGAAATGTGATCTTGGCAGGCACCAAACTTACGGCAAAAAACACATCATGCTAAAGTGCTCTGTACTGCAAGACGAGATGGATTATTTTGGATAAAAGATAGATAAATTAGAACGCCATCCTAGATTTTGCCTTTCACTTGTATGATGATGACAATGAATTCTCAAAACTCCTCGAAAATGCTTGCCACAGATGTAACAAGCAATAAAATCAAACCGGACAACCTAACCTAACAACGCTGCTTGAGTAGGAGTCAATCACTTTTTTTTCGCTTCGAAACTCAAACAGGTTTGAAAAAAGTGAAGGATGAGAAAAAGATTGCAGATTTTCTTTTTGAGGGGTCAACTACCCCTTTAAGCTATTTCTATCAAACCACACTATATATTAGTGAGCAGACAAGCTTGACTGTATGAAAGTTACAGTACACTACGTGCACACTGACAGTCCCCATGGTATAACCTGAGTATAAGTGTTTTGCTCAAGGGCATAATGCTAATAATGCAGGAGTGTGACCTCAGCTCATTTCACAACTTCTGACTGCACCTGTAACCTTTCTGAACCTTAAACATGACCTTACATCAATCTAAAACATCAGCTGTCATCAGAAAATTGCATTTCCAACATGGAGGATGTTGTGTAATAGAGGTATACATACATGTGTCTTTGAGATTGGGAGGAAACTGTGAACGAGTGACTGCCAGGATGATGAAGATCACCAGTGGCCAGATAAGAAGAGCCAGCGACCAGGCCTGAAAACATCAACAAACAAACCTGACATCAGATTTTACTGTTGGCTATATTATGACAGGGTTATTAAAAAAAGCTAATAGACAGACATTAAAATACATAGTATAAATCAAACACAACTTTGGCAAACAAGAGCAGAAGGTTTACAATAAATCTGTGCTTATTTTACATAATATGTTTATTTTATTTAGTAAACTCTTTTTGTGTAAATAATAGACTTTTCAATTCAAAACATTTTATTAATATTGTTTACTGATGATCCCAACAAAAATATTAGCAATATAAAAATGTTTTATGCAAATTTAAAGCAAGATTTATTTGATTACACACTGAAAAACATATTCATTCACTCAAACAAATAATTTTGCTGCTTGTTCAAACTATTTGAAATAAGCTGAAACTACAAAGGTCTTGGGTTTTTTGGGGCACAACTTAATTGTTTTATGTTCAATCTGTAAAAATTTGTAAAAATAGTTAGGTTAACTTGATAGATTTGTGTTGGGACAACATTAAAGTATTGTGTGGAGCCCAGAAGTTTTTACAGTGTTGGATTTACTCATTTTTTTAGGGCAAGGGGTTGCAAACTATTTATATTGGTTGAATTTAAACAAACAAATTAAGTTGATCATTACTAAATGTAACTTGTCTAATAAAATCTTTATATTTTGCCACTATACTTCAAACCACTATTAATGTTTTATCCATTTGACAAGACAATTTTAGTCATCGCTTTAAATTTTGTTAGAATCTGCTTAATAATGTTATCATTTTATGAAATGGAAAGTATGATTTGAGTCAGACTGGTCAATAACAGTGTTTAAATTATGATGACGCTTAAGGAAAATCAATCAACAATCAATTTACGGTCAAAACTTTTATGTGAACTTTGTGCAATAATATGCATAAGAAAAAGCCTTATATTGTGTAATAACTGTTGTCAGGCATTTTTAGAACAGAATTAATTTAATGATATATTAAACATTATTTATGGATCACAGTTCAGCCCCAAAATATTAAAATGACATTTTAAATCTTTATACTTTGTCACTATTCTTCAAACCACTATATGTTTTATCCATTTGTCAGCAATTTTAGTCATCTCTTTATATTTATTAGAATATGCTTAACAATATTATCATTGGAAAGTACGATTTGAGTCTGACTGGTCAATAACAGTGTTTAATATGTGATGACGCTTTGGGAAAATCCTATTTGTTTAACTGTGAAATACCCCTAGTATATCCACCCTATGCAAAATAAACAATTAATTTATGGTCCAAACGTTTATGCAGCCTTTATGCAATAATTTGCATAAGAAAAAGCCTTATATTGTGTAATAACTGTTGTCAAGCATTTTAGAACAAAATTAATTTGATGACATATTAAAAAACACTATTTATAGATCACAGTTCAGCCCCAAAATATTGAAATGAAATCTTTATACTTTGTCACTATTCTTCAAACCACTATATGTTGTATCCATTCTTTAGAAAGAACTTGTAATCATTTCTTTATATTTATTATAATCTAACTAACTACATGATAATTTTATTAAATAAAAACTTTTACACTGTAAAAAGTGATCATTCACTTTACTTAAATAGTGAATATAGGTCCATTGCCTAAAAAGGCTATTAAGTTGATATAAATACACTTTTATAATTATTTAAATAGTTTGTTTAATTAAAAATGTTAAGGTAACAGGTTTACTCAATCTAAGTAAAGTCAACTAATTGTTTTAAAAACAACAGGTTTACTCACTTTTTTAAAGTACAACCAACTAATAGTTTATTACAGAGTACAATTTGAGCCTGACTGGTTAACTACAGTGTTTATTTTTTATAATACCTCAGTTAAAGCATGCAAGCTATGTTTAACTGCGCAATGCCCCTATCCACCCTTAGCAAAATAACCTCTGAATCAGTTTAGTCAAAATCTTTCCGTAAAGAAAGAGCTATACATTGAACTGCTGCCATTTTTAAAACAAGATTTATTTAGATGACATAATAAAAGTCTTTATTTAAGGATCATAATGCAGCCCCTGAAATACTTAATAGTCAATTTAAAACTTAAGACTTACTTCCACCTATAATACAAATTACAAAACTGAACCAATGTTTGTAGACTTATGCAGTTATATAATGTCATCATTAACAACATTATTAGAATGAAAGACAGAGATCAACTGTTTTATCTGATTCTCACAGCCTGATCTGATCTGAAGTATTTTAGGTTTTGTCAGTTTAGTGGCAAATTTTCAGTCGTAAGAAATTATACGATTTTAAAAAGGAGGAGTGGCACCTACCCCACCCCTAACCCCAACTGTCATTGGGTGATGAGCAAATCGTACTAAATTGTACGAATTAGCCACTATATCAAAAAGTCACTAATTGCTGTGAGATTTCGTTGGATTCTCAACAATGCCCAACAACAGCATCTCTATTAATAATGAAATTGTATTTGCTTCCAGACAGCCCAACACTATCTCACGGCAATTTGAGCTTTTTGACAAAACATTAAAAACAATTTGACAAAATTTTTTAAATGATTTCACGTTTTCTTGTGAGATCAGGCTAAACAGCCCTACTATTGCCCCGCTTCAGTGAAATGTGATCTTGGCAGGCACCTCAACCAAACTTACGGCAAAAAACACATCATGCTAATCGATTTGTGGTTAAAATCAACACATTGATGACCTTTTGACCAAAATAACAAAACAGAAAGAATTATAATATAAGAAAGGTTCCTCTTGAGGAGAGTATGACCTCATTCGTACATTTTAGTACTGACAAGTTTTAACTATCTGAAAGCTTCCATTACAAATGACATATTTACACTGGATTTTGTATTTCTACACTGCATGTAAATTACCTTGATGTCAAAACAACATCGAATTGACATCAACATTAGCTAAAAATATCAAACATCAAATACATAACTGGCATCAAAAAACATGTCAAAATCGATTATTAAGGAGTGTTTGGACACAAATGTCATTTTAAAATCAAGGTTGTCATTTATTCATTTTACTTCAGCTTAGTCTCTTATGTATCAGGAGACGCCACAGCGGAATGATCTGCTAACTATTCCAGCATTTGTTTTACACAGCGGATGCCCTTCCAGCTGCAACCCAGTACTGGGAAACACCCATACACTCGCATTCACCCACACTCATACACAATGGCCAATTTAGCTTCTTCAAGTCACCTATACATGTCTTTGGACTGTCAGGGAAACTGGAGCACTCCACATGGAATCAAGGTTGTCAACTGACACCAAATCTATTCGTATTTCTAATGTGTTTTTTGATGTTGTTCAGACATTAAGGTAGCTGTGAGCTTTTAAATGCAAATAATTGTCTTGTTACAATGTTTGAGTGAGGGATTTTCCATATGGTGTGGGTTGCTTCATGCCCAGTTTGAATGCTTTGTGCAGTGGAACCAGTTTTTGTGCCTGTATTTATATGAAAATCTAAAGCATGTGATTTCAGTCGATACAATCTAATTTAGCAGCAAATAATTTGTACTTTTTGTCTTGATGTTTAATATTTTAATTTCCTTGCTCATTATTATTTGGTGTCTTGGTTCTTATGGGCCTTAAGAGTCCTGAATTACTAAAATAATTTCGCAGGAAGATGTAAAACTGCAATATCTCAGTCTACCTTCAACCACATTAGGTGTGCATTTTCTGAAAATAAAAATAGTATACCACTCGTCAACCAATCAGAGTCAGGCCTTCAACAGCCCAATAATATAAATACTTCAATTCTTAATTTTAATATTTGTATTGGTAACTAGTTTATAAAAGTGATGAAACACTTGAGGTGTGCTGAGTTTTGACAATACACTATAGTGACAATATAAAAATATAGCACTGTTTTTTTAATACCTCATTGCTTATTAAATCTGAGCCTAAGCTTTTTTTAAAGATGAAGGTGGGCTATAAAAACCCTCCTAGACATAAATAAGCATTGAAAACATCATTTGGACAAGTATGATTTATACTCACTGGCTGCCGGATGACACCCAGGCCATTTTTCCAGAGAAGAAGTCTTAATTGTTTGAAGAAGGAGGCCATCAGAGGAGAGCTAACAGAAATGAATGATAGAAGAAATATTTAAGTTATGTTAAAGATATTGAGCAGTTCCAGCATTGATTTAGACAGTGGCACAAGGTCTTGAGGCTGGGGGGTGAAGGGGGGATGAGGGGTGGTGTTGTTGGGTTTTGGTGGGGGAGGATGATCACTTAATATTGCTCAATTTTACCATTACTCACAAAGAAGAGGCAAGTTACTTTAAACTGAACATGAAATTGCAAATTAGAAAGTGTAAATCTGTACTTAAAAATTTCTATGTAGTTACAAAGTTTATGATAAATAAACAATATATTAGAGTAGGCCTATATTATAACAATATTATAAAATTATGTTAGAATTTATTGTATTGGCTATATTATATTATATCCCATTCAATTAAAGCTATATTATGTTACATTATGTTAGATAATATTTTATTATATAAAATTATATTATATAAATGACATTATATTATTGTCATTTAATTTTAAAAATCATGTTGTTTAGAATAATTTCCACATATTGTCAATTCATTTTCATGATTACCTGCACTTTTTAATCAAACATAATAACTAATTAATAATTGTCTTGACTACAGAAGCCTAAACTATAAACTACTCCTAACAGTACTAAAACTTGACAAATGTATTATTAATAAAAATTAATTAATTTTTAATTTCAAACAAAATAATACACAAGTAAAACACAATTCTACACCAACAGCAAAATAATAATAAGCCTGAGGATTAGCCTACTTCAGTTTTTGATAACGTTACTACTATTACACTGTAAAAAATCCTAGTTGCCTTAAATTTTTAGGCTGAATCAAATTAACCTTATGAGTCCCCTGAACTTTTATCTTGTTAAACTGACTTAAAACAGCTTGTGTAACTTATAGAATTAAGTTAGAACATGACTGACTTTGTTTAGTAAGTTGCTATAACCTTAAAACATATGCTAACAGGACTAACTGATCATAATTTTTTACAGTATAGCCACGTTGTATAAATTGAATAATTTAACAATTATTACTATTAATTACATGGTTATCAATTGAAATGCCTTTTATCAAGTTTAACACCGGCAAATATAGGCTATTCATTTTTGAATCTCAGTTAGGCTACTAATCAGTGATATAACCACTATGATATAACCTACAAGAATTAATAAATCTGGCAGCAGGAAGACGGCTTGACTAGATATTACCGCTGTAATGTTGTTATTAGTAGCCTATACTGAAACAATGTAAAGAAGTAAGATATAATTACCTTGTTGGTTAGGCTTGGAATTGATGTATTAATATAGGGTCCGATGCGTTTCATATAATGAAGACATTTTTGCCAGGTAATAAGCTACCTAGCAAATAGCTTTTCCCATGTGATAAACAACACCTGGCGAAAATGTAACAACAATAACAGAAATCACGTATGTACAGTAAATAAAGAGCAGATGAAGAATATTTTTATGTCTCCTCAGGTCTTCGCCCGCAGTTAGTGAATAATAACCAGTGTTCACTTATTGTCTGTGCGCACTCGCGGTTTGTTCAGGTGAGAGGTGTGTTTCCCCTTCTCTCTCTATCTCTCTCTCTCTCTCACGCACGCACACACACACTTACAGTATGCAGGACCGGTTCGAGGATTCCGTCGACACGTGAGAGAACAAGTATTGTGAGAAATTATTGTTGTTTATATTTAAAGCTATGGGGACACTTAATGCCCTGATTTGAGATTTCTGAGGGATAATAAGGTCGCGTAGTTTCGAGAGGGTTATGCTTTATCATAGGCCTATATGATTTATCAATGTCGATATTACCCTGCAAGAGTTTTTGTGTGCATTTAAAATAAATGTAATAGACGAAACAAGGCTAAATATGGACTGTCAGTGAAAATCTAATAAAGGTCACAGAATAGCCTACAACTAGACTAGTCCTAAAAAAGCTACATGAGAATGAAGGACTACACGTGTCCATTACACCTTATGAGTACATTAAACTTAAATCAGGTAAACGTTAAACTGACTTAAAACAGCGCCTGCCTAACTTATAAAATTAAGAACACAAAATAAAATTAAGAACATGATTATCTTATAATATATATATATATATATATATATATATATATATATATATATATATATATATACATACACACACACACACACACACACACACGCACACACACACACACACACACACACACACACACACTATATATAATTGAGGTCAGAAAACTCCCTAAATTATTAGCCCCCATTTATTTCCCTCTAATTTCTGTCTAACTTAAAGAAGATTTTTTTTCAACACATTTCTAAACATGATAGTTTTAATAACTCATTTCTTATAACAGATTTATTTAATCTTTTCCATGATGACAGAAAATAACATTTACTAGATATTTTTTCAAGACACTTTTTCAAGACACTTCTATACAGCTTAAAGAGACATTTAAAAGCTTAAAAGTTTGTTCTGTGGAATATCAAATAAAAATATAACTTAAAGGGGCTAATAATCTTGACCTTAAAATTGTGTTTAAAAAAAATTAAACTTAAACAAATTTTTTAAATGCTTTTATTCTAGCCAACATATAATAAAACAGACTTTCTCCAGAAGAAAAACTATTATCTGAGATACTGGGAAAATGTTCTTGCTCTGTTAAACATCATTTGGAAAATATTTTTAAAAGAACAAAAAATCCAAAGGATGGCTAATAATTCTGATTTCAACTGTATACCAAAGGATTTCAACCTTTTAATATACGGCCTGAACACTAATAGTTTAATTTGCAATTAACTGTAAGTGCTTACACCACAAAAAAGCTGAAAATCATTTATTAAAATGCTTTCTTACTGCAGCTCATTGATACCTGGTCATTTATAAATAAGCTGTACATTTTAGTGGTTCTCAACCATGTCCCTAGTGGATCACCATTACTGCACAATTAGTCAGTGTTGTCAAAGAATTTGTTACTAGATTTATCAACTTTTTAGACCCTCGTAGCGTCTTTCAATATAGTAACTAATTACAAATGAAACAAGCATGAGGCAACGCTTTCCCAGTACAGGTCCTGACTCTGTGCAGTGAGCACCAACAGTAGCATGTTCTGTTGACTGCAGCACTGCCCATAATGCTCACACAGACATGAATGAGCTGTGCATGTGGATGCAGTGTTGTCTTGAAACAATCATACTGTATATGTGCCTTCTTTGTTTTGAGTTGAAACAGTACATTTGGCTGTTTATTCCTCTCTTGCACGTATATTACTCACAATAACAGAGCTTTCGTAACCTGACAGTTTCTGAACTTGTCTGAGTTTATTTATAGCTTCAGACTACACTGTCAATTCTTTACACTGTAGTTTTACTGTATTCAAACAACAATTAAATTGAATTAAATTGATCTAAGGAAAGGGAGCTCATTATTTAGAGTTCAGCAGTTCAAGACATTTGACACGTGAGCATGGGGGGAAATATGCAAACTCAACACAGAAATGCCACCTGGCCCAGCCAGGAAGATGTAATGCCAGAATGGTACCACCATAGCAGGTATAAAAAAACATATCATTCATGTTTATTGTGTCAGATTTCAAAGTCATCAGAAATCTATTTTTCTATAATTCAGCAAACTATTTTGCCCAGTCACATTCTTATGGTGAAGTCATGAACACTTACCTTAACTGAGACAAGTGAGGCCTGCAGTTCTTTGAATGTTGTTGAGTGGTCTTTTGTGACCTCTTGGATGAGTTGTTGCTGAGCTTTTGAGGTACATATGGTCGGCCGGCCACTCCTGGGAAGGATCTACACTGTTCAGTGTTTTTATCAATTTAGATAACGACTCTCTCTGTGGTTCGCTGAAGTTCCAAAGCTTAAGAAATAGCGTTATAACCTTTTCCAGACTGGTAGATCTCAATTATTTTTACATTTCTTTGGATCTTGATAGGATGCCTAGCTTTTGAGGATATTTTGGTCTACTTCACTTTGTCGGATAGGTCCTATTTAAGTTATTTCTTAATTGGAAAGAGGTGTGGCAGTAATCAGGCTTGGGTGTGGCTAGACAAATTGAACCTAGGTGTGATAAGTTAAGTTATATTTTAATGGGGGAAAACACTTTTTCACAGGGCTATGTAATTTTTATAATAAAAATGTTCATTTAAAACTGCATGGTGTGTTACCAAAGTGTTACCTACTTGTGTTATCTTTGACTAATTTTTCAATTTGTTTAATGATCTGAAATATTAAAGCAGGGGTGTCTAAACTCATAGAGGTCCCGTATCATGCAGAGTTTGGCTGCAACCCTTATAAGACACACCTGAACCAGCTAATCAAGCTCTTTCTAGGTATAGAAACTTACGGGCATGTGTATTGAAGAAAGTTGGAGCTTAACTCTACATGACACTGGGCCTTCAGGACCGAGTCTGGGCACCCATGCATTAAAGTATGACAAACATTAAAAAAATAAAGAAACGAAATCAGTAAGGGGGAAAACACCTTAAGAACCTAAACCTTAAGGAATGTCCTAGAAGTATGAATGTATGTAAGTGTGAAGCAATTTATCTTCATATCTTCATGACTATCTCTTTTTCTGACAAACGAACAGAGTAAAGAACTAGTTGAAAAAAAAAAAGTTCTCTGTTCTACAATCGGCCAATGAACCAGTTAAAAATGTCTTTTGTTCAGCTTGTCTTGATCAGACAGTCTTGTTTTCTCTGACATGGAGATTGCATTCAGTGTTGAACACACTGTAAAGTTCAAAAAGTTAAACCCATATTTCATCCTTAAATTAAAATAAAAAAAGACACATTAAATCAAAATATAGTGCATCACCAAACATATGTTCTTCAGTTGACTAAAAATAAATAGGCAAGATCAGGATCCACATACTGTAGAATACAAGAGACTGTAAGTGGGGGGTGTGGCTTTGGAAAGTTCCAGAAGCGTCAGTATAACAAAAGAATGAAAAACACCTCATTTCTGTGAGAATAAGACTCAAAGCTTTGTTGAGGTAAAATGATCAGTACAGATTTTAACAGATTGGCATCATACCAAAACAGACTAAAGCCCCATGAGAGACATTGCAAAAAAAAAAAAAAAAAACTAACAAAACCTACAGTGAGTTTACTCTATTTGTCTGACTGACCTGCAGTATAATGAACTACTGCAAACAAACTACAAGAACAAGGCACGGATAAGTTTAAATCATTTTAAGAAAACTAAAGCTTTCAGTGTTCACAAATGATCAACAAAATTATTCCAATTTAAAAAACATATTTATAGAAAAATCACAGCGATTAATACAGTTCTGGTAATGGTGAACATAAATGTACATTTTAAAACAACAAAAGAAATGAGTTACTCCCAAATGATAAAAACAAAGCCAATCAATCACTATGCTAATATTGCATTTTTCTGTAAGTTACACTTTTATGGCATATTATGAAAGTAAAAAGCACACTGTGGCGATCAAATAAATTAGAGCATAAGAAAACTACAAACACTGTTTGGCCAAAGTCTGGTGAAAGCACCATTTTTTGTCTAATCACAAGACAGGCACAATATTGACAAAGATGGTCTAATGCTAAACTAATCCTGTCTGTGATTTGGCAAAAGCATAAAAAACAAAAAGACAAAGAGTAATGGCCAGAACCTCCTAAGGCAGGGGCGTCCAAACTCGGTCCTGAAGGGCCGGTGTCCTGCATATTTTAGCTCCAACTTGCCTCAGCACACCTGCAAAGATGTTAAAGTCTATAAGAGCTTGATTAGCTAGTCCAGGTGTGTGTGATTGGGGTTGGAACTAAACTTTGCAGGACACCGGCCCTCCAGGACCGAGATTGGACATGCCTGTCCTAAGGCAAGACTTAAAACACTGAAATACGAGTGGAAAAATCTAAATGACTATCTTCAAACAGGTTTGATCACAGTGTTACACAGTTCATCTTGACTATCAACAATCCAAATCACACAACTGTGAAGATAGAGCAGCGGCATTCAGAAATTCCATATCTGGCACAAGATAAGCCATTTCAAATACACCTCTCACTCCTTCTCATGTTACAAAAACCCAACCACAGTGGTTTCGCAATCAGAAACATAAGCTCTGCCTATAAAAGAATGTATTTTGATCATTGTAATCAATAACATGAAAAAATATATAGAGAATTCTCTCCAAACTGTGTTATCAGTATACAATTTTCCAGTGTGTGGGTTGTTCGCATTCCTGCTCAACATCACCGCAGAATCGATTATAAGTGGTTTTAGGATCAAAACCTAGGATTTCTCTTTCTTCGTGTATTCGGAAAGAGAAGGTTGAAACTGATGTCCCAATGAAAAACCTGACAAGAAAGACAACATTGATTTGAGTAGGTTGCTTTACAAAACAGACGCTAAGCCAGGGCAGACAAAAGATCGCAAAATTGATGTAAAGTGTCAGACAACGTCATGTGATTAGATTAAACATTGTCATATTAAACAATGAACACATTTTCCAGTGAAGCATGCGTTTCAGTTGGCTGGACTGACTGAGGTGCAAAACACTGTGTCATGGGTCATGCTTTTCTTCTTTTAAAATGGAAAGAATCTTTCAGAGTCACACCCTATTCTATAATTCAATTATTATGATATTTTCTTACTAAATAAACCTTTTTCTGTTTGCCAGTTTAAAGCTTTAGTATTTTTATAGTTTTACATTTTATCAATCAGTCATTAATTTATTTATTTATTTATTTTTAGTTTTTAAGGGTCAAAGACAACAACAACTTGTTGGCGTCTGCATGTAATTAAACTTGCCATAGTGATGTTATACACATAGTAAGCAAATTAAACGCTACATTGTCTACTTTAATGTTTCAAATCATTTTGGTGAAAATAAAATGACTTCGTTAAGCATAACAAATACATTTATGCAAAAATGAAACAACATTTTTTTTTACCTGTACTTATAAAATAAATACAATAATTCACAATACATTTTTTTTATTATTTTAAAGGGCACCCATGATGAAAATCAACTTTTGTAAGCTGTTTGTAGAAATAGTGTGTCCACTGTCATACTGGAGGGATAGAAACAAAAAAAAGTCTGTTAAAATTTCTTGACCTTAAAATTGGACCCAAATCCCAGTGATTTTGAGGCTAACCACAACGTGATGTAGGAGTGCAGTTTTCCCGCCCACCAAATTGACTGACAGGTGCCATGTTTCTATAATAACATGTATACACATGTCCACAACACATATTTTGCAAGTAAACTGAGATTTCTTTAATGCTAAAAAGAGGCTGGTTGATGTAACATTTATGTCGATATTGGACTTTGGTGATGTTATCTGTATGTATGCTTCATCTCAGAGTCTGCATGCATTGGATACTGTTTACCATGGTGCACTAAGATTTATAACTAATTTTAAATCCCTTACTTATGATTGTGTGTTGAATATTAGGGTAGGTTGATCTGCTTTGTCCATCCGTAGGCTCAAGCATCGGCATATCCTTGTTTACAAATCTATATTGGGTTTAGTCCCATCATATCTCAAGAATTACATTTGTAAAAAACGTGTCCTTAGCTATGGGCTTCGGTCACAGGTTATTTATTTACTGTCTGTTCCTAAAGTGGGACTGAGATGAGGAAAAAGACGTTTAAATGCGCAGCACCTTTTGCGTGGAATAATTTACAAACAATTGCAGTTTAAAGAATTGATTTCACTAAATTCTTTTAGAAATTGAGACACAGGCTTGTAGATGTTTGGTATAATTTGTTTGTCAATGGGTTATTCTTGTTAACTTTTCTGTTTGTTGTCTGTTAGACCCATGTGACATGTATACAGCCTAATCTTTGTCAAGATGCTCTTGTAAAAGAGATTTTTAATCTGAATATGTCTTTTCTGGTAAAATAAATGTTATAACAACAATAATAATAATAATAATAATTAAAATATTTGCTACAACTCTCTTTGATTTTTATAAGTTTGATACCTTTTTAAATCAGAGCATGTTTGTAATAAAGAGAGTAAAATCACCATGTAATTCTAAACCAATTTAGAAAGGCATTGTAAGAGACTGCCCTTATTTTCGTTTTTGGTATGAGATTGCAGAAGAATGGTTTGACTAGAAATGTACAGTTTTTTACCATCATGCTGATAACTTTTTAGTCACTCGGCAGAACTACAGTTCGAACCGCTGCGGTTAAAACCCATTCTTACAGCTTGGATAAACTCCACCACAAATACATGGAAAATGTACTTGGTATTTTTGACAAATGTGCTATATTTCAGTTTTATTTGAGTCTGTCTGAGTCACTTACTGCTGTTTATCTGACGTAGCTCATGATGAGGAGCAGATACATACATTGAAAGCAGCTCATTTGCATTTAAAGCTACAGGCTACAAAAACAGCTACAATGTACTCAGACACCAAAATGGGCAGATTCTGGAGGCTATAATAAATAATCTGATGGCTATTTTGAGCTGAAATTTTACAGCCACATTCTGAAGACACCAAAGGCATATCTTACATTGTGTAAAAGGGGTACAATAGGTACCCTTTAAATTATAAAATTTTTATTTTATTTTATATATATATATATTTTGCTTAAATGGATAAGACCTACCCGTTTGAGGAGTAGTAGCAAAATATAAAGTTTAAAATGACAATTATTACTGTTTTAGGGCTGCACTGTGATCTTTAAATAGTCTTTTATAAGGTTTTAATCAAATTATTTTTTTCTTAATATTCTTTGTATAAAAAATTGTTCAAATGAATGACAATTCAGTGGGTAAACTATGGTAAAAAGTAAGATTGTCGTTGTTTTTAGTACTGAAAAAGCTTAATAATACCAGACACATTCTAATGTATGAAAGACATTGCATTTAATTTTTTTCATGCTTTTCGGCCCCTATTTAAGTGTTTATGAATATAGTTTAGTTTTACATTTTCAATACATCATGTTTAACTAAATAATTACATGGGGAAATAAATAAATAAATAAGTAAATAAATAAACAAACAAACAAACAAACAAATAAATAAATAAATAAATAAATAAATAAATAAATAAATAAATAAATACATTTAAATATCCATAATTTGGAAAATATTTTCTTTAAAAAGTTGCTGAAATACAATATTTTTTTTAAATATGTAATTTGAAATATTTTATTTTAAGAGCCAACTATAGTTATCATTTTAAAAAGGAAGAAAATCTACAGATTTTTTTCTAAAACTGACTCTCTATCAACTTAATCTTCTAGAGACAGGTTTAAAATAAAACTTGACAAAGAAAAATTAGAGTAAACAAAACAATAAAGAAAAACGAAGTAAAGATTAAACGAAATATCTTAACCAGCTGGAAAGGCAACTAACACTGACTACAACTGGAGAAAATGATTGAATCTTTCAACACAGCTGGTAAAGCGGCCTTTGTACAGCTAAAGCAAAAAAACGAGTCATTCAGTAAGCTTATTGTTGTGTCAGAAAAAGGAGAGCAGAGGGTGTGGTTGAGTACCTGGCATGAGCACAGATCCACTGGTCTATAATGGCTACTCCTCCATCTTTCAGGAGCTCCAGATCCTCCAAGCTGGGCTCAAACCGTACCATCTCGGGCAGCAGCCGTTTTAGTTTAGCAAGCTCTAGAAGCAGAAAAAACACTGCCGTCACATATCAATATAAATACTTGTTTGTGTGTGGGTAAATACATATTTGAGTTCAAACATTAGGGATTGCTACAATTAAAAACGTATTTTATGCTCACAAAGGCTGCATTCATTTTATATAAAACAGTAAAATTGTGAAATATTATTACGATTTGGAATAGCTTTGCATAATCCTAAAATAGTTTTAAAAGTAAGAAATACCAAAGATGGCAAAGTATCATTGCTCCAGTCTTGTTACATGGTTCATTTGAAGATATTACTATATGATATGTTTGTAACATGAATTATAAAACACTTTGCAAAATTACAAATGTCTTTACTGTCACTTTTGACCACTAGGGTATATGCACAACTAGTGCTTCTTTGAATACCAATACACTTCAGTTGAATGGGTAATGTGACTTTTTTCAATTTTATACAGTTTTACAGCATAGATGTTGTAATGTAATTAAGATATAATTAAATAGTTAAATAGACTTCACCATTCATTTATTTGTTCTAGCGTAAAACGAGATAAGAAGCTGTTTACATGCATGTGCCCGTCAGGATCAGCAGGCTAGCGCTAAAACTTTATTGAATATACTAGGGTAAAATAAATGTTCATATTTTCAAGACATGGCATGAAAAATGTAATTTATTCCAGTGCTTCTTGTATATTCTAAGAGCCACTTTATATCATATATAAATCAGGCAGTGGAGATCACCGGAATCAGGCAGTTCACCGGAATCGATTGACTCAGGTTACTGAAAAATGAAAAGTCCTTCTGCATATACCCTATTTAATGCACCACTGTTTGATTTACTTAAATCAAATTTATCATAAATTAATACGATTTTAAGGGAATAAAAAAACTTTGGCCTTTTCTTTAAAATGATATGATATGACTATTAATGTGGTCGCACAAACCAGGGTTATTATAGTTAATTAAAACAATATCAAAATATAATGAAACTCGTGATTGTCATTAGTCATAAAACATATCATAAAAATATTTTATATCATTTAATTTCAAAGAAGAATTTATTTAAATCATTATTAAATAACTACAGTCAAGCCTGGAATTATTCACACCCCTAAGCTATGAATAATTTCGGGCTTAACTGTGCATTGTTAAACATTTATTATTAAAATAACAAATATTATTAAATTAAATGAAATTAAAAAAACAATAAACAAATAAATATTTAAATAAATAAACAGCCAAAAAACTAAACATTTAGCTAAAATGAAAATAATTACATGTACAATAATAATAACATAATAATAACAAATAAAATATAAACTAAAAAAAAACTGAAAATATAAAACCAAAAAGCTGCATGATGACATTAAAAAAGTAATTTTTTATGGTGCTATTTTATTATTTTATATTTAGTTACAAAAAAAATCAAGAAGTTTTTAAAATGACATACTAACTAACTTACTTACTCCCAGGGCCATTTATATCGAAGTTGATATTTAGCCGCACCATGTTTGTTTCCCTAATATCATCACTTGTTAGGAAAAGCAAACATGGTGTGGCTAAATTTCAACATCGATATAAATGGCCCTGGGAGTAAGTAAGTTAGTAAGTATGTCATTTTAAAACCTTGCGTTGAGTTATTATGAGGTGTATTGTTAGCCCAACACTCAACCCCCAACTTGGAGAACCAGGACATACACTAGGGACAATTTAGTTAACCCAATTCACCTACAGCACGTCTTTAAACTCACCCAGAGGAAACCCACGCGAACACGGGGAGAACAAACTCCACAAAGAAATGACAACTAACATAATTATTAAACAATTTCAATACATCACAGTATCTTGAATATGGCTGATCAACAGGTAGTCTGACTTTAATTTCTTGAATGTTTAATAACAAGGAAAATGTGTGCAGTAATTTACTAAAGCACTGTGTACTGTTTAACTGTGCTTTTATTAACTGGATCTGTACCTTCCTCATCTGCATCAGTAGCAACAAAGACTTGCAGTAGCTTGTGCTTCTTCATGAGACTACGGATCTTCTTCACTGCACCTTTAAGACTGGGCACATCTTCTCTGTGACCCCAAATAAAGTCCTTCCTCCGTAAATGGACCCCCAGGTAAGGGCCACCTTTAGCACTCCCCAGAGGGTTCTGGGTCCAGGAGTTAACAAAAGTTCAGGTGAAAATTATGATAGATTTGTCACAACAAAACGTGTGTGGGTGTAAAGTACATGACAAACATCTCAGAAATGCATTGTCCTGACGTGTGACTAAGGCTCAAATACATTACTTTTTGACTATATCAGTTGTTCTGACAGCTTCATGAATTTGATCAATCAGGAATGAGGATTATTGTAAGGGAAACATACTTTCATTTGAGTCCAGTCCTCATTGTACGGTGTCTGGTCTTGTTTATCTGTGGAGTTGAGATGATTGGCTCTAAACTTGTCTCCTATTATGCGCAAGTGTTTGGCAAACACCATACTTCGCCGTGTCTGTAGAGCAATAACATTAAAAAAAATTGTTTGGTTCAAAGTTCAACAATTAGATGAGGAATAAAATATATAATAAAATAAAAAAAAAAAAAAAAAAAAAATATATATATATATATATATATATATATATATATATATATATATATATATATATATATATATATATATATAATAAAATAAAGAAGCCATCAAGAACATTGAAAATAAAAAAATAGACTCATTTTAGATCTTTGCTAATATTAAACAGTTGAGTTTTACCATTTTTGAATCAATTTAGCCGATCATAGAGACAAGTGGAAGCATATTTAGCTTAGCTTAGCATAGACCATTAAATGGAATTAGACAGTTACCATCTTAAAACCATCAAAAAATCTTAAAACCATCAAAAACAGAGACTGGCGGGAGCAGATTTGGCTTAGCATAAATCATTGAATCTGATTAGACCATTCGCATCTTGCTTAAAAATGACCAGAGTTTGGAAAGCTTTAAAAAGTTAAAGCTGGACTCTTCTGCAGTTACATTGTGTATTAAGACTGACGGAAAATAAAAGTTGCTATTTTCTATGATGATAAGGCTAGGCAATTACCACAGACTCTAGAATACACAAGACATGTCACTGGTGTAGTTTTGAATGGGAAAAACTGTAACGGTCAATATGGCTAATGAAGCCCCGCCTACTAGTACAGGAGCCAATCATCGATCGGCATAAACAGACGATTCTCTGGGGGAGTAACTCAGACCAGATGTGTGCATTTTATGAGCTTCACAGGCATAAGAAATTTATCAATATAGAGCTTGAAATTTGTGCTTTTAAATTAACTATGTGCACTCGAAAACAAAAGTTTTTTGGATATGTAATCTGAATGAAATGAAAGCGAGGTACAGTCCATCCTGTCAAACGCACATCACATGACAGCAGCTACTTAAACGCCCACAAACTTGTAAACAAAAAGTTGCTGTCATTTATGGAGGAGATTCGCCATCAAGAACAAGTTGTGGATTACTTCATAGGACCAGTGTGATCAGACGATCATTATCCAGAGGATGATAATATGTAGAACACCCATAAATAAGGTTGGCGTCGTGATCTCGTTCCTTTTGAGCGCATGTGCATTAGCTCAGGCAACCTGAAAATATATGCTGATTTTGTTTGATTCGGATGATTAGAACCTAAACTTATGAGATTGTTGTTTAAGTTTATTGGTGGTTTCAAATATGTAATTTAATCATGAGCTTGGCAAACAGTTTTGAAAAATTTGATGTTTTCCCATTCAGACAGAATGCCCAAGCATACCATCCAAGAGGCATTTCAAAGATGGCCGCCGAGTAAAATTACTTGCCTTAAAGGGACTTTGCTATTACACATTGCCTGAAAATAGTCCCCAGCTAGGTAATTAAGTAACAGCAATTTTATATCATTGCGCCTGCTGCAGTCAGGGTATGACAGCAAAGTTCCTCAATTATTATGCCAGAATAATCAAATTCAATGATCTATGCTAAACTAAGCATACAGAAATATTTAGAAAAGATTTAAAAAATGTGTAGCCAAGGTGAATGACAGAGGCATAGAGATAGCTTATAATTGTGATGTATAGTTGGCTTTGAAGGGTTAAGAGGTAAAAACTTAAGTTTCTCTCTTTATTTCTGTTAGATATAAATGACAGAGCCTAAAGGTTTTTGGAGTCAAAATATAAAAATGAAAAGACTGAAAGATTTTAAAGATCTGGGTGTATTCACAACAAAACAACACAAAATGCTGGAAATATGGCTAAAACTTTGGACTCCTGCAGAGACATCTGCAAAAATCTGAAAAAATGGTTCATAGACTTACATCCCAGTAGTCTTTCCCAGCATAGTGATCATGAAGGACAGTCTCGGCTCTGTCCACCATTACTGACCTGTGGTTGGATGACAACAAGTTTCATTTAAAGGGCACTTTATTACTCCCTGTTTATACAGTACATGTTGTAAACATGCATTTTCATCACTGATCAAAAGTGGACAACACTAAATACTGGACTAAGAGGGTCTAGAACATTTTGAGCTTGAACATTCTTGACCACCTCCAGAGGTAGTAGAAAACGTTCGAGGTTACTAAAGTAACCCTTCGTTCCCCGAGGAGGGGAACGGAAGCACTATAAGTGGATTTGATTGTTAAAATCCACGTATGGGAGATTCGGTTCAGAAGCTACTCGTCTGAAAGAGTATTGAACGGGCCAATTAAGAATGAATTGGCAGCGCAAGCCTGCGCAGGTGAGCGGCATAAGCAATCAACTGAGTATATAAGCTCACCTGGCGCCAGCAGACGCTATCCTTTTTAAGCTGAAGAGACTTTTAACAGCTAAGGGACAGTCATTATGGCGACGGAGTATAGTGCTTCCGTTCCCCTCCTCGGGGAACGAAGGGTTACTTTAGTAACCTCGAACGTTCCCCTTCGGGGGGAACTTCAGCACTATAAGTGGATTTGATTGTTAAAATCCACGTATGGGAGCCCATTGAAAGCGCCATAATGACTGCACCTTACCAACACCCACCATGAGAGAGCGGTCAGGCAAGCGTGACGCACCCAGATCACGAGAGGCGTGGTCCTCCAACGTGCCCATGGCCCTAACTTATCCTACTTCAAAAGAAGTTTTACGGAATAGGTATCTTTTTTGGGAGTCGCTAGCGTCTAGATAATTCTAGGAATACACGACAGTACGTTGGGAAGCGTGCCATCCCAGTAGGGAGGACGCTGCGGAGACCATCCGCACCCAATAGGGGGAAACAAATGGAATTACATATGGACTAACCCTGAAAAGGGGGAGTGCGCATAAGAAGGTGGTTAGCAGATAGGGAAAGCACGGGTCCGCCCAGGGGGGGAACTTAACCGTGGCGGAAAAGCATATGGGGATCACCAGCGGGGATCGGCCATAGCAGGCACCTATACCCAAAACGCGGGCTGACCAGCGGGCAGACCTACTACATAATGGGCCAGCAAGTGACTCCTCCGCTGAGTCAGTGCTGGGGGCCTCGAAGGAATCTGCAGGGCTCACCGAATGGGGAACTTTACTGACAGACAGGAGGGTGCACATTTCTCCGTGTTAGGGAAAAAAAGGCACCGCAAGCGTGTACAACACCTACCGAGTTGTTTCCTCAATCACCAAAGGTACCTAACACCCTTGAGGAAACCGGCTCTACTCGCAGATTATAAAATCTTGCAATGTGTTGGGTGTCGCCCAGCCCGCAGCTCTACAATGTCTGCTAAAGAGGCGCCACGCGCACACGCCCAAGAGGATGCAACGCTCCGAGTGGAGTGCGCATTCCTGGGGGGCGCGGCTGGCCTCTGCTCAAATAAGCACATGAAATGGCCTCCACAATCCAGTGGGATAAACGTTGTTTAGACACGGCACTTCCCTGCTGCCGTCCGCCATAACAGACAAAGAGCTGCTCAGAAGATCTAAAGTTCTGAGTACGGTCCACATAATGCGCAGAGCGCGAACTGGACAAAGTAAGGACAGGGCTGGGTCTGCCTCCTCCGGGGGCAGCGCTTGCAGGGTTACTACCTGATCTCTAAAAGGAGTGGTAGGAACTTTGGGCACATAACCCGGGCGGGGTCTCAGAATAACGTGAGAAAATCCCGGCCCGAATTCCAGGCACGAGTCACTGACCGAAAATGCCTCCAGGTCCCCGACCCTCTTAATGGAGGCCAACGCGACCAGCAGAGCTGTCTTCAGGGACAGAAATCTTAAAGATACTGTATCGAGTGGCTCGAAGGGATCAATTGCAGGCTCGTGAGAACGAGGGCGAGATCCCAAGAGGGCGTGAAAGGGGGGCGAGTTGGATTAATTCGCCTAGCGCCTCTGAGGAACCGGATGATGAGGTTATGCTTTCCCACGGTGCCGCCAGCCACCGCGTCATGGTGAGCATAGATGGCAGCAACGTAAACCTTGAGAGTGGAGGGCGACAGCCTGCTGTCCAGCTTCTCTTGAAGGAAAGAGAGCACAACACTGATCTGGCAAGATCGGGGGTCTTCTCTGCGAGAGACACACCACTCAGTGAATAGACTCCACTTCAGGGCGTAGGCGCGCCTCGTGGAGGGGGCTCTAGCCTGAGTGATGGTATCAACCACCGCGGGCGGCAGGTTACCTAAGTCTTACTCGCGTCTATGGACCACACGTGGAGGTTCCAGAGATCGGGACGAGGGTGCCAGACGGTGCCTTGTCCCTGAGAAAGTAGGTCCTCTCTCAAAGGGATCTGCCAAGGGAGGGCCGTCGCGAGGAGGGAGAGCTCTGATATCCAGGTTCGGTTGGGCCAGAGGGGCGCAACTAACAAAACCTGCTCCTCGTCCTCCCTGACCTTGCACATTAACTGCGCGATCAGGCTCACTGGGGGAAACGCATACTTGCGTATGCCCCGAGGCCAGCTGTGGGCCAGTGCATCCGTGCCGAGAGAGCCCTCGGTCAGGGAATAAAACAACTGGCCATGAGCGTTCTCGGGGGAAGCAACAGATCGATCTGGGCCTCCCCGAATCGCGCCCATATCAGCTGGACAGACTCGGGGTGGAGTCTCCATTCTCCAGAGTGAATCTGCTGCCGTGAGAGCACATCGGCTGCACGGTTGAGCATACCTGGGATGTGAATGGCGCGCAGCGACTTCAGCCGCGGGTGACTCCAGAGGAGCAGACGGCGGGCGAGCTGAGACATGCGGCGAGAGCGCATACCCCCCATGCGGTTGATATACGCCGCCGCCGCCGTACTGTCCGTCCTGACCAGCACGTGTTGCTGCCCCAGCACCGGAGAAAAACGGCGGAGAGCAAGGAACACTGCCATCAGCTCTAGGCGATTGATGTGCCAATGCAGCTGGGCACCTACCCACAGGCCCGCAGCTGCATGCCCGCGACACACGGCTCCCCAGCCTGTGCTGGAAGCATCTGTCGAAACAACAACATGACTGGACGCCTGTCCCAGAGGCACACCGGCCTGCAGGAACGAGGGGTCGTTCCAGGGGCTGAGGGTGCGGCGACACAGCGCAGTAACAGAGACTCGGTGTGTGCCCGCATGCCATGCGCGTCTCGGAACTCGATCTTGAAGCCAGTGCTGAAGTGGTCTCATATGGAGCAATCCGAGCGGCGTGACGGCCGCAGCGGAAGCCATATGCCCCAGGAGCCTCTGAAAATATTTCAGTGGGACCACTAACTTGCTGTCGAGCTCCCTCAGACAGTTCAGCAGCAGGCGAGCGCGCTCTCCGGAGAGGCGCGCTACCATGGTGACCGAGTCCAGCTCCATCCCGAGAAAAGAGATCCTCTGCACCGGGGCGAGTTTGCTCTTTTCCCAGTTGACCTGCAACCCCAATAGGCGGAGATGCCGGAGCACCTCGTCTCTGTGCGCAGTCAATTGCTCCCGAGAGTGGGCTAAATCAGCCAGTCGTCGAGATAATTGAGTACGCGGATGCCCGCAAGCCGCAGAGGCGCTAGGGCACCCTCCGCGAGTTTGGTGAAGACCCGCGGAGACAGAGAGAGCCCGAAGGGGAGGACCTTGTACTGCCATGCTCGACCTTCGAACGCAAACCGCAGAAACTGACGGTGGCGTGGAAGAATGGAGACATGAAATACGCGTCCTTCAGGTCTATGGCTGCAAACCAATCCTGAGGACGAACGCATCGGAGGATGCGCCTCTGCGTAAGCATTCTGAACGACAGCTTGTGAAGGCAGTGATTCAAAACGCGCAGATCTAGGATTGGCCGTGACCCACCGCTCTTTTTGGGTACGATGAAGTACGGGCTGTAAAACCCGCTCTCCATCTCGGCTGGAGGTACCGGCTCGATTGCACCTTTCGCCAGGAGGGCAGCAATCTCCTCTCGCAAGACAAGGGCGGACAGGGGATAGACCCTGGTGAAATACACGCCCGTAAACCTGGGAGGCCGTTTGGAGAACTGTAGTTCGTAGCCGAGTCTGATCGTGCGTATGAGCCACCGCGAGGGGCTGGCCTGCGCTAACCAGGCAGGCAGAGCCCTCGCTAATGACGTCATCGCAGCAATCGTTGACGTACCCGCGGAGGGGCAGCGAGGAGCGGGTGTGCTGATCCGGGGAGCGCGAGGGTCCCACAGAAGAGCTGGAGGAGAGCGATTCGCTCTGGCTCCGCACCCTGACTCCGGAGGGGGGGCTTGGGGGCTGGGAGAAGGGAGACCGTCCCCCCAGCGCCCGTGAGCCGCTGGCGGAGCATGCAGACCCTGCGAGCTGAGAGGCGGCGCGTCCCAGGCTGGCAGGGCCTGCAGTGCCCGTGAGCCACTGGCGGAGTGCACCGAACCTACGAGCTAGAGAGCTGAGCTCAAACTGGCAGATTTCGGGCTGTCACCTCTGGAGAAGTGGAAAAGTGCCCTTTCATTTCATGGCAGTAAAAAGTGCCGTTGGAAATGGCACCCCGCCCTCCAGCGGGGAAAGAGCAAGTTCCCTCCTCTCCAGATGACCTGTCCCAGGGACGCTTCGCGGTCCGTTGCCAGACTTAGCGGCGTTCCGGGCAGGGGGAGTGGCCTGCTTCCGAGGTGCTCGACGCGCTCGCTTCGCCAGAGGCGAGTGCGGGGGCGGTGCAGCTCTCGTAGGCAGGCGCCTTCGGCGAGGAGCAGGTATGGATGGCACGGCGGGCGGAGCGGGCTTACGGGGCCGCCGATTAGACATCACCCATCGGACTGCTCTCTCACTGCCTCGAATTCCTGGGTGAATTCGCAGACTGTGTCGCCGACTAGCTTGGGATATGGGCGAGTCAAGAAAGCGGACTTTGTCAACTTCGCGCATATCACCAAGTTTTGTTAGAGGTGGGGCTTCTGGACCACTAGTGTGGACATCGTCCTCCCCAGAGCACATGCAGCGGACTTAGTAGTCCGAAGAGCTTAGTCGGCTGCGGTGCGAAGCTCATAAGCCTGGGTTGGACCCACCCTCGTGCAGCTCAGCCAGCGCCTGCGCTTGGTAGCGCTGGACGGTGGCTATCGCATGCAAGGCGGATGCAGCCTGGTCCGTAGCTTTGTAAGCTCTAGCTCCGAGGGAGCCGAAAACTCACAGGCTTTGGATGGGAGACAAAGCAGACCCCGCCAAGAAGAGGCGCTGTGCGGATTAACCACCATAGCACACTCAACCTGAGGAATCGCCACATACCCCCTGGCTGCTCCACCACCAAGAGTGGTGAGGGTGGAGGGACACGCAGCACGAGCAGAAAAAGGTGCTCTTTAAGACTGCGCGAGCCTACTGTGCGTCGCCGGGAAGAAGGGAACGCCCCTCTAGTCGGTCCGGCCGCGGAGCTGGGGGATAAACCATCTCCAACCCACGGCCGAAGCAGCCCGGGAAAGCACGGCTAACACGTCCGTTTCAGTATCCGTTTTGACAGAGCTTACCTGCCCGAAGGGGGCGAGCGGGTCCGGATCATCGTCGGACAATGAAAGCCCACCCTCCGATGCCGCGGAGGACATCTGATCTCCGGTGACAGCGAGCGTGAGAGCTACCATCTGATTAGATGGATCACTCCCAGCGCCCGAAGCTTGGATGGAGCGCTTGGAGGAGCGAGAGGTCCGCGAGCCCTTAGGCGGCGGATTATCTCTCGCTGGAACCCTCAGATCTGCCCGAGCGCCCGCTGCAGAACAGGAGGCGACTGGGGCGGCTTGCTCTCTCACGAGAGTTTGCCGCGATCTCAACTGCGCGACGGTCATGGCATCGTAGTGACGACATGAACCGCCCCCGAGCACCACATTAACATGCTGGACCCCCAAACATGTAATGCAGTGATCGTGCCCATCATCCGGAGCCAGGAAACCCCCGCAACCAGAAACGCACAGTCGGAGCGCCGTCCTGAAAAGGACGTGCTGCACGACTGTGTTGCTCTTTTAGGATGCTTTGCAACAATACGCACCGCTCTGGAGGACCGGACCCAAAGGGACGCCAGGCAAGGGAGAAACCCAGCTCGACCATCTGCCGCTGCGTGGACTCGCTCTGGACCGGGAGACACTCGTTCGCTCGAAGTGGCTGTAGACAGCAGGAGGAACCCTCATGAAGCTCGATCAGAAAAGTCTCTGAAGCGAAAAGGATAGCGTCTGCTGGCGCCAGGTGAGCTTATATACTCAGTTGATTGCTTATGCCGCTCACCTGCGCAGGCTTGCGCTGCCAATTCATTCTTAATTGGCCCGTTCAATACTCTTTCAGACGAGTAGCTTCTGAACCGAATCTCCCATACGTGGATTTTAACAATCAAATCCACTTATAGTGCTGAAGTTCCCCCCGAAGGTGAACTGCTTTTATATGGTTGAATGTGTTGAAACATTCTGACATAGTTCTGAAAAATGAGAGGATGTGTTGTTGAACAAACCTGACAGTCAGGAATTAAACTGGAAGCTTGCTTGAAGGTAAAAAAAAAAAAAAAGTAAAATATGCAATGTTCTCTAAACAGTCCTCATTCTAGATAATTCAAGCATTACTTTTTTGGCTAACAGAGCAGAAATAAAAAGCTGCAGCTTTCTGTATCGTCTTTCATTTTCATTTCATGTTCATACGTAAATTGTACAAGCTTATCGTGCAATATTACAACAACAACCAAATCAGAAAAAAAGCTGCATACAGTTGAAGTCAAAATTATTCGCAATCCTGTCAATTTCCTTTTCTTTTTTTAAATGTTCTTAAATTGCGTCTAACAAAACAAGGAATTTTCAATATTTTTTTCTTCTGGAGAAAGTCTTATTTGTTTTATTTCAACTAGAATAAAAGTAGTTTTTCCTTTTTTCACAACCATTTTTAAAGTCAATATTATTAGCCCTCTTAAGCAATATTTTCTTTGATAGTCTACACACCAACCATTGTTATACAATGGCTTGCCTAATTACCCTTACTTGTCTAATCAACCTAGTTAAGCCTCTAAATTGCACTTTAAGCAGAATACTAGTACCTTAAAAATATATAGTCAAATATGTCAAATTTGTCAAATGTCAAATTTGTACTGTCATCATAGCAAAGACAAAAGAATTCAGTAACTAGAAATGAGTTATTCAAACTATTATGTTTACAAATGTGTTGAAAAAAAAATCTTCTCTCTGTTAAACAGAAATTGAGGGAAAAAATATAGAGGGGGGCTAATAATTCTGACTTCAACTGTATGCACCAAGACAAGAGACAAGAGCAATGTGATAGACCAAAATGCATCTTATGGTGTACTTACACTAGGCACAGTTGCTTTGAACCTATGCCTTGTGCAATTGTCCCCCCACGAGTTTCCAGCTTTGCATTCACACTACACTATGCACTGCCAGAGCCAAACCAATCAGTGGGGGTCAAATGCACTTGGGTACAGTTCTGACAGCCTAGTGTAAGTACACCCATAGTACCGAGTGCACACAAGTTCTTCTAAATTGACTTACGTGGCTGTTATGTTATTTTGTAAGACAGGGGCCAGGATAGATGCATGTCCTTGAGCAGATAAACAGGTGACATTCAATGCTCTGGTCTCCTCAAAACCCCAAAACCAACCTCTGGAAAAATAAAACGAGATTTAATGAAACAAATGGCTTTAAAATAAAACTTTTACCTTTGTTTACTCACATATTCCTATGCATATCATACTTCTGTGAAACACAAAAGGAGATTTTTAAAGGATGTTTTGTGTGCTTTTTTCCATACCACAAAAGTCATTTTCAAACAGATTCAAAACAGTTCAAAACGATTTTGTTTGCATTCAGCAGAACAAAGAAAAGCATACATTGGAACAACATGAGTGTGCGTAGACGATGACACAAACAATGCCTTTTAAAATCTTGCTCACACGCACAAATATGTTTCACGGTTTGTGACACTGATAACAGATCTGTTTTACCTTTCTAAGAACTGTGAAATCTAACTATGAAACTTAGTTACATGGAAAAAAAAAACATTTTGTTTCTGCATTAGATCAAATTTACTTTAATTTAATTTACTTTATTTCAAATTTATATACACATAAAGCACATTTAATGCAAGTAAAGTGTATACTTCCATATTTCAAAGAACATTTGTAAAAATAAATTATGCTCTGTTACTATTCAGCATAACAGATTTACGTAAACAACAACACACCATATCTATAAACAGCATACTTATTCTGACCTGTACTCATTGCAATACATAAAAGTGTTACCATACTAAACTGTATTATATTTCAAAAGTAAAAATGTCTTGCCAGCAAATAGGTAAAGCCTAGTGCTTTGAAGTACAGTGGTAAAGTATCAAGGTTTAAAATGACAGTTCATATTTTGGGGCTGAACTATGATCCTTCTTTTAGTGTCATCAAATTATTATTATTATTTTTCTAAATATGCCATGTATTATTCAGCAATCTTTAAAGACCTAAAACAAAATACAGATAATCTATTTTTAAAAAACACTATTGTAATTTGGTACAAAGCCCATAGATATCTTAAAGATCTCTCAGTGCTTTCTTGCTTTTCCCCTATTTGGGGCAATAATAATTTCAGTCCCACTAAAAACAAAACTATGGATGAATAAGGGCATAATTAAAAGATTTGTATGAAGACAACATATTAATGTCATTTAAAAATCTTGCAGCAAAATCTAATATACCTCAAAAACACTTTTTTTTTTTTTTTTAAATATTTACAACTAAGAACACATTTAAAGAATTCAACACAGCTCCCCCTAAGGTCGTTATTGGAAACTCTTACAGAACAAGATTGTTATATCAAAGGACGAATTACACAATTATATAACATGTTAAGAGAAAATCATGAAGAAAACTCTGAAAATAAAAGACTAGCATGGATCCAAGATACAAAAATGGATATTTCTGTAGAGGACTGGATTTTAATATGTTTGAATGCACAAGCAAACAAAGGGCAGCAAGGTGGCACGGTGGGTAGCACAATCGCTTCAGAGCAAGAAGGTCGCTGGTTTGAGCCCTGGCTGGGTCTGTTGGCATTTCTGTGTGGAGTTTGCATATTCTCCCAGTGTTAGCCTGGGTATCCTTCGGGTGCTCCGGTTTTCTCCACAAGTCCAAAGACATGCGGTATAGGTGAATTGGGTAAGCTAAATTGGCTGTAGTGTATGGGTGTTTCCCAGTGATGGGTTGCAGCTGGAAGGGCATCCACTGCGTAAAACATGGGTGTCAAACTCAATTCCTGAAGGGCCGAAGCCCTGCACAGTTTAGTTCCAACCCTGCTCCAACACACTTACCTGTAGGTTTCAAACAAGCCTGAAGGAATCAATAAGTTTGATCAGGTGTGTTTAATTAGGGTTGGAACTAAACTGTGCAGAGCTGCGGCCCTTTTGGAACTGAGTTTGACACCTGTGGCGTAAAACATATGCTGGATAAGTTGGTGGTTTATTCCGCTGTGGCGACCCCAGATTAGTAAAGGGACTAAGCTAAAAAGAAAATGAATGAATGATTGAATGCACAAACAAAAACATTGAATTCCCGATTGAGACTGCTATAATATAATTGGGTAATAAGAACTTATATTGCTCCTGTAAGATTAAATAAATTCAACCATAATATCCTGATCCGTATTTTAAATACAATAAGATGCAAGGTACATTTTTTCATTGTGTGTAGGAGTGTGAGGAGGTACAAAAATTTGGGGTGGAGGTGATTCAGTACAGTATATTTCACAACTTATTTTCATTCCCATTCCTTTAGGTTCTGGATTATGTATATTGAATTTGTATGAAGACAGTTGTGCTTTGTCTACTAAAAAAAAAACTTGATAGATTTATATTTAATACAAACAAGGCGATGTATTGCTTTATGTTAAAAAAATGTTAATCACCCCTCTATTGGAATTTTGTCGTATCTGCAAGGTGCTTTTGAACTTTGTGAAAAATTATTAAAATTTCTATTAATACTTCTTTTAAAGAAGTACTTAATACTTCTATTAAAGAAGCTCTGGACGTCTGCAGTTGTGGAAGGTGAATTGGTGTTTGATTAGATTTCTTTTTTCTTTTTATTTATTTATTATTTTCAGTAGATTTTTTTTAACAAGGAATATAATTTAGTTTTTATTTTCCCCTAAAAATGTCTGGGGTGAGTTTTAGGTATTAGGGTTTGATTTATTGTAAAACCTTGAAAAAACTTAATAAAGACATGTTTTAACAAATATGCCATATAAGATTACTTTGGTAGATAAACTACTCTTACACATAAATAACAGTTTAGTAGGTATCTAAGGTAGAACATTACAAATGTATAATAATATAATTTTTTCTCAATAATAAAATAAAACAGGAAACATTCTGATGCATAAATTAAAGCTATTGACCTTATTCTTGACGTAGGAGCGGATGCAGCCATTGTTATCTTTTTGGCTCGAGAGATCCTCTCTCATTCACTCTTATTGTTTTTAGACATTTTAAACAGCTCATTATGCAGCTTGATGTTGCAAACTGACATTTTCTTATTATAATATTCTACTTTGTCTGTATAGTCATGAATACACTTGGTTGTAGAGCAAGTAGTTTGACCGTTTTCTGCCATTTATCATTCCAAGCCATTTCTCCCATAGGCAACTAAATTGGAAGATCTAAAACAATGGCAAAAACGAGCGCACTTCCGCATTGTTGAATAGGTTCAATATTGCGCACTGTTGTGATGCTTGAAATATATATATATACATATAAAATGTTTTTCTCTTAAATAACTGTTCTATGACTCTAAAAAATGCATGAGCATTCCTCGCATTGTCCTTTAATTGTGCCTCTCACGAGCATCTGAACTGGTTGAGCATGATTTTAAAGCAGTACCTGTAATAACCCTGTTTGTCTTTTGAGTACATCAGCTTTTCAATACACGGTCTGTCATCCACCTTCTCCTCCCATTTTCCATCCGTCCAGCCCTCTGCATAGCTCTGCAGCACAAGGATCTGGTCAATGAAGGGACCCCCAGACTCTGAGATCAATAACAAAGATGCAGACAGATGGAATCATAACAAAGTCTAATTTTTTTGTATTTTATTTATAAAAGCAATGCACCCGCTTACACTGAACAGAACTCAAAAATGAAAATCACATCCTTATTAACTATGTAATGATCTTCTTTTGTGTTCAGAAGATAGAAAGTCATACATTGATGGAAATACTTGAATGTGTTGAATGTGAATGTTATTTTGGGCTATTTGGATTTTTACGAAGTGTTTTTTTTTCATCACACTGAAAAATCGAACTAAGGATCCTTGTAACAAACTTAAGTGTGTGTTGTTTCAGGAAAGCAACCATTTATTTGTGTTGTGTTTTATTTTCACTAATTTATTCTTCATTTAATTTTTAATTTAATCATATGATAATTAGTCATTTATATAATTATCATTATATCATTTTATTGATCAGTAGTTTTTGGATTAAAATTACTGATTTTTTTTTTTAGATTTGATTAATACTGATTATTTGCCATTTTTATTGTTTTTATATTTTATTATTATTATTATTATTATTATTATTATTATTTACTCATTTTCTTTTCGGCTTAGTCCCGGCTTAGTAATCTGGGGTAGCCACAGCGGACTGAACCGCCAACTTATCCAAGATATATTTTTACACAGCGGATGCCCTTCCAGCTGCAACCCATCTCTGGGAAACATCCATACTTAGTTATTGACATATTCTTATTAAATGACAACTTATTTACATTATAGGATGTTTTTTTTTAAGTTGTTTACATTTTAAGACTTTTCATAAAAAAAAAAAAATAAAAAAAAAAACAAGTGTTACACCCATAATGTTTGCTATGGAATGCAAAAACTTTGAAGTTTAATATCTCAAAATCATTCAGAACGCAGATAGAACCTTATAATTCCAAGGTGACGATGTGACTAATACATTAAAATCTAATATATTTGACTCTGATTTGATTCTAACATTTGACTCTAATACCTGTTAATAATATATAACAAGTATCATGTTATTTGACTCTAATATAATTATTGTGTCAGAAATGTATGAAAAATAGTGCATATTGAAATGACAAAATACCACATTTGCATATTTAAATGTATAATTTTAGAAAACATCCAATATAAAATGAAAGGTTTGCAATTTTTTTATGTAATCAGTAAACTGCAGATGGTGACAACAATTAGTTCATTTTTACCCTGCTCACCTGCAGTGTCTACTACAGGGATAGTTACTCTTATCTCATCAAGTGGTTCTATACCTTTATGAGTTTCCTTTTTTCTGTTGAACACAAAAGAAGGTATTCTGAACTATCCCTTTAAATAGCACATGACTAACAGTCACGCACTGTCTTCATACTGTAGGTAAAGTGTGTATATTCTCCCACTAGCTTCCACATTTGGAATTACAGTTTATATAATAAACATATTTCTTCAACATTTTCACTTTCTGAATAAATTAATCACAGTTCAATTGAGCTAATCAAATTAACCACCTGTCATTTCAATTCTTCTCTCTAAAAGAAACAATCAATGAAACTAGTGTAACTTACCAGCAATAAACTCCTCGTATTCAATGACTGGTATGTTAGCCTGCAGGCTGGTTATGCTGAAGAATTCACCCCACGGGATGCGGAGCTGATGTATTTCAGGGCTTTGCCAGTGATACAGTCGTCCCCATGGAGGCAAAACCAGCACCCAGTCACCCTCTTTCCTCAACGTCTTCAGCAAAGTGGCCATGCGGATATAAACATCCCGTCTGAGATTGAAGCCTTCAGGTGGATTCACATCATACAGGAGGTAGCTGACGAATTACATAAAGACGGGAGCATTCATAAAGTGCAAAACATTTTTAGGTCTCCAACTTATGTATTAGATTAAATGTTATGTTTCCATTTTCTCAAAGTCTTATATCAAATACATTTTTTTTCAGCAAACAGATTTATAATTGAATTTAATCAAACTTTGTATAGATTTTAATAGAAAAAATGACTTCTTTTTGATGTCTTTTCCAATCAAAGTAACATGTTTTTAATGATTTAATTATATCAACAACAAATTACAAACTTATAAGATTGCTATCATGAAGAAGCTTAATATTACATTTATTTAATTAAACTTAATTAAACCACTAATTGAGGTGGAGCATTTGTGTTTCATTTAAATAAGAAATATTACAAGTGTTTTTTTTCCCTTTTTATTCTCTCACAAATTCCAAACTACATGCATTTTTAAATTGATGCAAATTGAATTGCAAAAATTAAATCTGCAAAATGAAAACATCTAAACTGTAAAATATTTGTTTAAATTAATACATCAATTAGAAAACTGTCTGTAATACTTTCTCACTAGAAATCAAACGCACAACATTTATTTAATAACAGATTTATTAGACTTATAAGATAATTTAATAAATGATCAAATAAAATAAATCAAACGTGCATTTAGTTAAGCATTTTCAACCTATTTTTTGTTTCATTAGATGTAGCTTGGAATAGTTTTTTTTTTTTTACTTTCTCCAAATAAAATGTTTAGAAAAGGTTTTTTTTTTTTTTAAATGAACACCTTTTCCCTACTTCTCTCTTTCTCTCTATCTCTCTCTCTCTATTCAATTCAGTTCAGTTCAATAATTGCTTTATTAGCATGACAAATGTTGCAAATAGACTGCCAAAGCATTTATAAAGTTTACATAAAAACACACATAAACAAAAAAGTCACAGTAGTAATCGTAATAAAAAATATGTAAATATTCATTCATTCATTTTCTTTTCAGCTTAGTCTATTTATAAATCAGGGGTTGCCACTGTGGAATGAACCACCAACTTATCCAGCACATGTTTAATGCAGCGGATGCCCTTCCAGCCGCAACCCATCACTGGGAAACATCCATACACACTCATTCACACACAAACACTACGGACAATTTGGCCAACCCAATTCAATCTATAGCGCATGGCTTTGGACAATATAAACAGGGGGCTAATAATTCAGTGGGGCTAATAATTCAGACTTCAACTGCATGTATGTATGTATGTATGTATGTATGCATTATGTATGTATGTGTGTGTGTGTGTGTGTGTGTGTGTGTGTGTGTGTGTGTGTATATATATATATATATATATATATATATATATATATATATATATATATATATATATATATATATATATATATATATATATATATATATAATATAATTAAATAAAAATATAAATAATATATCATACTATTTAATATATCATATATTATTCAATATATTATAAAATATATCAATAAAAAATAATAGATAAGAATAAACTGTACATTTCACAATCAACATTTTAGGAAAAAACAATAATAAAAACAAAAATAATCAGTACATTTACAACGATTCATTTATATTAATCTAGATGTCAATAATCTCTCTCTCTCTCCCTCTTTCTATCTCTCTCTCTATCTCTCTCTCTCATTTTCTTTCAAATGAATATATTTTCATTAATAAGATTCTTTCCCAGAGATGGGCTGTAGCTGGAAGGGCATCCGCTGTGTAAAACATATGCTGGATAAGTTGGCGGTTCACTCCGCTGTGGCGACCCCAGATTAGCAAAGGGACTAAGCCGAAAAGAAAATGAATGAATAATAAAAAATCGTAATAATTAAAAACAACTTTTGAATAATTTAGTGCGAGAAGAACACTCTTACAGTACTTATAATAGATTTTCTATATAGGGTGGTGCTGAATAAGTGCTGCCAATTAAATTCGAATGGCACTGCATAAAAGGAATAAATCAACAACATTCTTAACATTGATGGACAAAAGCAACATAAAAGTATGAAGCATCTTTTGCAGTTTATAACAGTCCTACCGAACATCCCGTGATGCTGCAGCCACCGGTGAAAACATCGACTGACCGGCGCGAAATGCATCGTCCTCTGAAGCAGACGACGAGTTACTAGATAAAATAACAAAGATAAATACTGTAATATATCCTAAAATATGATGGAGATGGACAGACACAGCTGTTCCCCTGTTGGTCGCCATGTCTTTCTTTCACAGCCACGCAGTTCCGGCGTCGGCACAGTTGCCTAGCAACTCACACACCAAAGTATATATCGGTATTTCCTCTTTTCGCGATTACAAAACCCAACAATGCAAAGTGATATATAGTCTTATACATGACACCATTAATTAAAATAATAAGAGAGCACATACTGCGTTATAGTTCGAAATATAAGACGTGGATGAAACTAGTCTGCCCGCTTCTCGCGAGATTTGCTCTATAGTGTCGCGCCATTATGACACCATGAAGAAGGGCCAATGAGCAGTCGCGACAGGGTGAAACCTTACTGTGCACAGTGATCCAGAACATCAAAGATATGAGCATGTCGTTAATAATTTTCACATCTGCACAGAGGTGAGTATTCTTAAAGTGTCCCGGATGTGGTGTTATCGTGGATTAGTTCTGCTTACAGGCTCTGTAGATGAAACAGGCTATCGCATGCAACCTGACAGTGTAGTACAGTACAGTTGAGGACATTTGTCCGAAGTTTGGACGTTGACTGTTATGTGTAAGTTACATTGTCTAATAACGTTAACGTAAAGAAAGTCAGCAAATAATGTAAGCAAAACATTAACAAATATATTATAAGAAGAATGTTTCTGAAACCTATAGAAGCCAACTACAATTCTGCATTCTCCATGACATTTAGGACAATCATTTGTTGCTAAATTTGTTCATATATTTTAGTGTTCATATATTTTAGTGTATTTTTGTTTGTAGATGAAACAGTTGTATGTATGTAATTATAAAATCTTGAGATATTTAGTGTTTTCTTGCTGTCCATTGTTTCTTGGAAAATTATTATTGTTTTTTATTTTGTAGTATGGAATCTATTACATTACATTATTTTAGAGACAACTTTTACTATATTATTTAGCCTTTTTTGTAATATATTGTAATTGATTTTGTGCCTTGTCCACTTTGTCATTGATATTTAAAAATAATCATAATACAATAAAATTAAATGCGAGTAAATTCAATATTTGTATGTTGTTTGTTTACTAGAGGTTTCAGTTTCAAATATTTTGTCTATTTTTTGTAGCAATGCTTTAAAATATGTATAACACAAAATTAGTAACAACACTATTGATTTTATCCTACACAGATTGCGATCAGTCTGTAGATTGCAGAGAATACATGGACACATGGTAAGTATTCTCAAGGACTGTATTCTTAGTGTGTGTGTGTGTGTGTGTGTGTGTGTGTGTGTGTGTGTGTGTGTGTGTGTGTGTGTGTGTGTGTGTGTGTGTGTGTGCACACAATTATTCATCCAGTTGAAAGTATGCACATTGCTAGTATGGATAATTTTATTTGTTTACATGATAAAATAACCATTTTGATTTGATGTCTTGTCCTAAATTGCTTGAAATTTAAATAAATTGTTAAATTAAGCTTGATACTGAAATAAACGCGACCAGTAAAATAAAAAATTACATATCATAATTGCTGTATAATATGCTGTATTATTGTTAATAAAAACAATAGTTATACATGGGTTAAAGACGTGATGACGTGATTTTTGCAAATAAAATTTTATTTTACAAATGCTTCTTTTTATGTGTGTGTGTGTGTGTGTGTGTATATATATATATATATATATATATTTATTTTATTTTATTTTTTTAATTGCCACAATATATTACAATATATATATATAATATCATTTGAACCAGATGATTTGATTATCTCTATTAGTAAAGATTTCATTCATATAGATTGACTGAGGTGATCAAGTCTTTTTCTATCCATCACATCTGCATAAATTATAATAAATTAAAATTAATAATTGCAATTAAACAATTAAAATATTATTTATTAATATTATTTTACATTCAATGTAAAATAACATGGTCATAATTGTATAAATAATTAAATATAATGTATTATACATTGTATTAATAATAATATATGATACTATCTTTATTTTTTATATTTAATACACAGTCTAATCCTGCGATATGACTATTTCAGATACACACATTGCGATTTTGATGCTCAATATTGTCATTGTTATATATATATTTGTAATAACAAAAAGATTCTGCATATTTCTTCCATCAAATACTATTTCTATATGTCTGGTTTCAGATGTCCAGTAAAGCTGGATCTGAAGTTCTGTTTGAGAAAGTGGGAAAAGCCGGAGTAATCACACTAAACAGACCCAAAGCTCTGAACGCTCTCACACTCAACATGATCAGACACATCTACCCTCAGCTCAAGGTTAGGAGAGAACAACCCCTTTTATTATTGATGATCATCCAGTCTAACTCCATGATAATCTCTATTTTGTTTATCTGTTTCAATCTTTTTGTTTTTGTAGAAATGGGACAAAAACTCGGAAACGGATGTAGTGATTATTAAAGGAGCAGGAGAGAAGGCTTTCTGTGCTGGTGGAGATATCAGAGGTAATAATGTAAAAAGACAACTGATTAAGAAAGAAATCTGTAACTTGTACTGAAATGCTCAAAATGAATGTTTTATCAGCAATCGCAGAGGCTGGAAAAGCAGGCGATTCTCTTTCCCAAGTCTTTTTCCGCGAGGAATACATCCTTAACAACACTATTGGTATGTCTTCACACTTTTTTAATAGTTTTTTTGCTTTGATGAACAGACTTATTTATTTATATCGTCAATTTTTCACTCATTTAGGTACATATCAGAAACCCTATGTGGCTCTAATTAATGGAATTACAATGGGAGGAGTGAGTATTTCTGCTATATTATTCTCATGCTGCACAAAATTCCCCAGCAGATGGTGCTGTTTGTCCTAATTTAGCAGAAAATAGCATTAACGAAGCCAGAGGCGATGTGGTCCAGCTTGACTTGTGTTTACTAGATAACAAAATAAATGAAGGACAACGTGTCCAGCTTTATACATATAGCTGGACTATTTTTTTCCCACTGTTTCCAAAATAGGTCTCACGTTGGCATTGACTTGTATAATGCACAGTCTACGCGTTTCCATTTGTGAATGATGCATACAAATTAGTAATCATACTCATAAGAACCCATTAGCTATTATTGTGTGTATTTTTAGTGCCGTTTTCAATACCTCCCAGTTATGTTTGACCATATGAGCTGCGTGACGCACTATGAGTCATAAACCCCTCTTTTAATCCTCTTAATTTCTGTTTTCCACTGCGGATTTTATCCTGTAGGTGTCAGCAGTGAGCTTCTCTTGCACACAATCTTTTGGCTTTCTTATGAATCAGTTCTGAAGTGTCCTTTGATTGGAAGGCTATGGATTGAGCAACATTTTATAGGACTGTGTCCACGTTGCACATAGTAGGGGAGAGAGGGGACAAAAGTACCATTTGTCACAAAAACCTATTTTTGAAAGATAATGTTTTAGACAGAAATATATTTTTGCTGTGGTTACTAACTCACAAAAGTGGTCTATCAAAATCAAGTGCTACTTTGTATCAATGTAGAAGAGCTTCAATATAATTTTATTTTAATCAAAAATTGCACATTTTGACCCCATCGACAGGGCCGAAAGTAACACCCGGGTGGGTCAAATGTAACGCAACAGTATTTGCTAGATTTACCGGCTTAATCTTGTTCATTTGAAATATATCTGACTGTGACCTTGTTAATATTTACTTCAAACATATTTTGTCCTTTAATTTAGCAAAAAAATATTGAACTGCATTTGCATTTTAAAATGCACTTTTATCAAACGTTTCAAAAGCAATCCAGCAATGCAATATGTTAAAAATTTCTAAAATGTTTGAATATTTTTATTATTATTGGCAATATGCATTCATTTTATAAAAAATAGGAATTAAAACGCTGCAAACTTTAATGTGGAAGTGAAAAATAAGGGTTGTCAATTAGCAGTGGGACATAAATAAGTGTTACTTTCATCCCCACAGGAACTCTTGCTGTTTAAACCTGATTTATTTTTTACCTGCAAACTTAAGGATGTATTAGTGCACTAAATAGAATGATCATTAGTGTGTTGCATGAAGAGAAACACAGCTTGTAATAAAGAAAAAAGACCTACAATAATTTACTTTCTGCACTTAAAAACTGATTACGGACCTAACCGCGGGACATGGTCTCGAAATCAGGTGATTTTTGGCAGTCCATCAAGGGTTGCATGCTGAATGTGCTGTTAATGCCTGGAAAGCAAACTTTTTTTAGGGATTTGAGAAAAACGATTTGTTACTTTTGTCCCCCGTTACTTTGGTCCCCTCTCTCCCCTTCACATTGCCTTAAATGTCTTTCATTTAAAGTTGTGGAATTGCAGTGGAATTACTGATGCACCACAAATAATTGTGGGTCAATCTACAGAATTTAATACAGTACAAAAAACATTAAATGATTTTTAAATTATAAAAATTAATCCATCTATTGAATCATCCACTACAAACTGATGTCAATTTATAAACAGTGTATTATACAAAAGCCTATTTCACCCCCAGGATTTAGTTTTTATTTTCTTAAAAAGGTAACTGTGACTATTTCATAGTTTTGACTTTTTTTTCTGCACTTTGGTTTTTCTTGCAATTTTGAGTTGGACTTATTTCTCTCAATTTTGCTTGTTTAGCACAATTATAACTTTTTTCTTGTAATTATTTTAAGTTTTTATGTTAGTTATTAGGGTCTCTCCACACCACCACCAGTGTGCAACATCCACTTGGATGATGTGACAGCAGCCACAGGACAACAGTGCCAGTGCGCTCACCACACACTAGCTATTGGTGGAGTGGAGATACTGTGATAGAGCCAATTTGGTGGATGGGGATGATTAGGAGGCAATGATGGGTAAGGGCCGATAGAGGGAATTTGGTCAGGCTCAGGATGATATGGCTGTGTTATTATTATTATTTATACAATATTTAAATCTCTACTGATGTGATTTTTTACAAAAAGTTCTATTTGATATCAGTTCTCAAAGGCTGTATATTAATACTTTTTTTCAGTATTCCTTATTTTTAAGGAACTAGATTATTTAAGTGCATACACTAAAATAAATTTCATTTGGGTTCATTTTTTAGTCAATAAACTAACAATTAAATCTCAATGACAGCAATTTTGAGTTTTCGACATTGTTAGAAGAAAGAATGGTGAAATTTATCAGAGAATTCAGATTTTTCTCAATCTACTTGACTAACTACTATAAATTCCTACCCTATTTCCCACGTTTCTGTATTAATATAAAATAGGAATTGTTAGCCTATAACTTAAAATTGGTGAGATACAATCTAGCAAAGGAAAGTCAGATTTTTATTTGATTTAATTTTGTGTTTGAAACAAGCTTGCATCGTATTAAATACATATAGATGCCCCTCATATGAAGCCGCCTGTGTTACATAAATGGCCATAGAAGTGAGTAAACTAATCATCAGTACTAACATGTTGGTGCTTAACTTCTTTTACCATCTTATTGGAGCAGTTGAAATATGACGGTCTTCAGAATTTCGTGGGGTTCTGGCAGTAGGAAAGCAACATTACAGGCTGGAATCTGTCACTTCCTAGCGTTTGATTGATCAGGGTTTGAGTCAAGGTTGAGGTACGGTGTGTTGCGGTACATCCTGTGGTGTGAGCTGTTTGAAGCAGAGCTGCTGTGTGATGTGTCTCTGATCTCTTCTTTAAAAAACAGTATGACCATACAGCTTCACTGACCTCAGATTCCTCTAAGGTTGAGAATAGAATTTTTTCCATTTATTCTGATATTTGAGAAAAAGAAATAAGCAGTATCGGCTGAATCACAGATAATAGAATTAGAGCACTTGCAGAGCAGCACCGTGATGGAATGGAATGGATATTCCATCACCATTCCTGTTGACTTCTTTCTCCCCCAATATTTTCATCAATTAATTTCTTAAAGTGACCGTTAAGGGATTTTTTTCCCGTAAATATAAAAAAACACTGCAGGAATTTTATAAAAAATATACTGCTTTATGAGCATCACCTCTAAAAACTTAATATATGAAATGAAAAATAATACCTTTTGAACTTTTATTTGATGTTTACAAAGCAAATCTAATTAGACCAACTTATTTGGTAAACAAAGCAAGTCTCTCATACAATAGATCTACTAAAATACAGAAAATATTACTTTAAAAACTGTATTGTGAATAAATCAAGTGAACAGGTTCATATAAGTCAATAATATTATTGAAATTAATATAAAAACTAAATAAATATAAATTCACACACATTTACTCAAGTAAACAAATAGACTCGATAATAGGCTAAAAAAACTGCCGAAATCTGTGGATTTCTGTGCGCAGATTCTGTGTGGGCCTAGTCATGTGTATTCTTTTTAAGCTGTCTTTGGATAATTTGTTTATTTTATTTCCTGGCTAAGTTATATATTTGTAGATACTATAAATATTAAAATTGAAAGCATGTATATGATAAAAGCTCATGTCTCCTGTTGGCTTGAGTTGATAAAATGGTTACTGTTTAATATTTAGTCGCTAGCCAAAAATGTAAACAATAATATTACATGGTTTGTTGTTTTCAGTTCCACTGCCATCCCAAAGCTTGGGGTTATTGAGAATTAATAATAATAATAATAATAGCGCGGGTAGCGCTGTCACCTCACAGCAAGAAGGTCTCTGGTTCGAGTCTCAGCTGAGTCAGTTGGCATTTCTGTGTGGAGTTTGTATGTTCTCCCCGTGTTCGCGTGGGTTTCCTCTGGGTGCTCCAGTTTCCCCAACAGTCCAAAGACATGTGCTATAGGTGAATTGGGTAAGCTAAATTTTTCAGAGTGTATGTGTGTGAATGAGTGTGTATGGGTATTTCCCAGTGATGGATTGCAGCTGGAAGGGCATCCGCTGCGTAAAACATGTGATGGATAAGTTGGTGGTTCATTCCACTGTGGATTAATTAAGGAACTAAGCCGAAAATTAATAATTTAATTATTTATTTATTTTAATTAATAATTAACTATTAATAATAATAGTAATAAAAGATGGTTTAAAAATATTGTTTTTGCAGTATCCTAATATTTAGGGGCACAAACAATTATTTAATTTTACAAACATTTTAAATAATCGATATATTTGAGTGATTTCTGAAGGATCATGTGACAGTGAAGACTTGCAAAAGAAAATTTAGTTTTATCATTACAGGAATAAATGATATTTTTCAACCATATTAAGATATGTTTTAATTACTTTTCATTTTTATTAATAATATTTCACAATAATACTGTTTAGTTTTAGTTTTTTTTGTTTTTGTTTTTTTTTGCTGTATTTAAATGCATGCAGAACACTGAACATCTTCTGAAGATGATAAGATGATAAAACTCTTCATTTCGCTGCTTTACAAGCGCTGCTGCTGATATTTTTAAGCTATTTTTAGAAACGACACCCTGAAGTGTTTATACACAAGTTCCTTCCAGAATAACTATTTAGAGAAGACTTAATAACAGTCCTGTCAATAGTAGCAAGTGATAGTAGATCGTCTAATAAATCAACATGAACATAAAAAAGGATTTTCTATAGTTATCCTGAATCTGAATCTCTGTTTATGGAACACATTTAGTAAATGGAACAGATATGAAATCACTCAAAAGGGGGCGTCTCGCACTATTTATTGCAATGTATCAGTCAGTGGCTCAGTGTGATCTATGACCATCTCTTTGATCCACACACTGACCTGTCAGACGGAGGCTGTGCCGCACCTTTAATGCCTTCCTGACCAACGCTTCTTATCAGACATTCCTGTTATTTTTTTCTCTTCT